ACAGCATTTCCCCTAAAATTTCAGCTTTCCAACCTACAAGACAATCATTAAAAGCCATCCAACGCAACCACAAGCACCCAAACAATTCATAAGCCATTCAATATACTTCATTAGGGTCACAATACCCCTCAATTATAGCCAATTAGAAGCTCAACAATCATCCATAGAAAACCCCAATTTGAAACCCTAAATCTGAAATTTTCCGCACAAGCGAAAATTTTCCGCAAATAACCACAATTAACGTACAAGAGAGCTATTTAACACCATTTAGAACCATCAATTCAAGGCCAAACATATCCATCATAGAAAAACATAAATAAACCCACAAAAATCAGAAAATTAGCTAGCTTCACTCCAATCCACCAAATCTTCCGTAAAATCACGTATATAGCTACTATAAGGCACCAATTGGCCAAAATTAGAAACAAAAGATGAGTTCCAAGCAAGATACCTTAGTTCTTCAAGAAAGGTTGTAGCTTAGGAGGTTTTCTTCCAAAACAACACCACCAAGTTCTTCAAACACCCTTAGCAAGATGATTTTATGGACTGATTCAAGAAATAATCGGTTAGTTTTCAAAATTTGAGCAAGGATTTGAAGATGGAAGGTTGAAGGTTTCTTTCCTTTGCTCCCTAGAAGAATTCGGCCAAGGAGAGGTGAAGATGAAGACTATTTGGGTCAAAATTGGACTTTAAGTGAAGTAAGAAAAGTTAGACCAAAAATTAGGCAAGTTTCCTCCAATAACGAATGGACACTTGGCACTTTGTTTTGTTTAGAGTTATCTGCTTGTCCCTCCATAATTAAACCATCTAGATAACCTCTAATCATCTACTAACACCTAGTAATTAAACCCCTTTATGAAAAAATTGAACCGAATTGGCCGAATTTCTCTCACTAAATACACTAGCGAGCCCCATGTCCAAAATATATTCCTAATTTCTCACGAACTACCTTATACTAGAAAAATGATTTAAAAACTATATTTACTGATAAAATGTGGATAAAAGTAATATGATAAAGAAAATAAAAGAAAACGGGTGCACAGGAATAAAACCCTAAATAATTTTTTTTTTTTGTTCTGGGTTCTCACAAACTCACACATGCACCTGTGTTGGCATTATCAAATTTTAACAAGACCTTTGAAATTGAATGTGATACCTCTGGTGTAGGTATTGGCGCCGTTCTCATGCAAGACAAGAGGCATTGTGCATTCTTCAGTGAGAAGCTAGGAGGTGCTGCCCTGAACTACCCCACATACGATAGAGAGCTCTACGCACTTGTACGAGCATTGGAGACCTGGCAACACTACCTCCGCCCAAGGGAGTTCGTGATACACACTGATCACGAATCCTTGAAATTTCTCAAAGGGCAACCAAAGCTGAGCAAGCGCCATGCCAAATGGGTAAGTTTTATCGACACCTTCTCCTATGTCATTAAGTACAAAACTGGCAAAACAAATGTGGTCACTGATACATTATCTCGTAGACATTCTTTGCTTGCTGTTCTTGATGCCAAGTTGTTAGGGTTTGAGATGTTTAAGGAGATATATGCCCATGACCATGACTTTGGGGAAGTCTATGCATCTTGCATGAAGAGCCCACATGGAAAGTATTTCTTGCACAATAGATTCTTGTTTTATGTGGATAAGTTGTGTGTCCCTAACTCCTCCATTCGTGATCTTTTGATTAGAGAGGCATATAGTGGTAGTCTCATGGGACACTGTGGCATTGTTAAGACACTAGCCATGTTACAAGAGCACTTTTATTGGCCGCATATGCGTAGAGATGTTGCACGCATGGTTGGTAGATGTGTCACTTTTATTTTTGGAAGACTTTGTGGTCTAAACTTGGCACTCGATTGTTATTCTCTACCACCAGTCATCCACAAAGCGATAGACAAACTGAAGTTATCAATCGCACACTTGGCACTCTACTTCGGGCTTTGATTAAGAAGAATCTTAAATCTTAGGAAGAGTGTTCGCCTCATGTTGAATTCGCTTACAATCGAACTGTTCATAGTGCAACACTACTCACTGTTTGAGGTTATTTATGGCTTTAACCCGCTGACCCCCCTTGATTTAGTACCCTTACCTTCCTCTGAGCACACAAGCTTAGATAGGAAAAAGAAGACTGATTTTGTGCGCAGGTTACATGAAGCCGTTCGGGCAAACATTGAGAGGCGTACCCAACAATATATCTAGCAAGCCAACAAGCATCGTCGTAAGATGGTTTTTGAGCTTGGAGATTGGGTTTGGCTACACTTGCGAAAGGAGAGATTTCCTAAGCAGTGACAAAGCAAATTATCTCCAAGAGGTGATGGACCCTTTCGAGTGCTCCAACGAGTTAATGACAACGCTTACAAATTGGAGCTACCTGGGGAGTATAATGTTAGCACGACCTTCAATGTCGTGGATTTGAGCCCGTTTCTTGACGAGGAGGATTCAGATTTGAGGGCAAATCCTTCTCAAGAGGAGGGGACTGATGTGTGCATGGATCAGGCCCCACGCAATGACCCGGTCCGAGTTCCATTGGGCCCAGTCACAAGTGCACGAGCCAAGCTCTTCAAAGAATCCCTCCAAGGCCTTGTCCGTATTGTCCAAGACCAACATGGGGTCCATAGAGATATTGAAGGCCTAGAAGGAGACAAGCAAGTCATCTACACCATGATCCAAGTCCATGAAGAGTCAAGTGGGCCTCCAAGTGAGTGGACCGAGTAGGGCTTTAGGCCATAATGTTTACTTAGAGTTAGATTAGTTGCTTTAGTAGAGCATGGGCCGGCCCATCTTGACACCAAGATGGTCGAATGCTTCCCTTAGGGTTTTTAGGGTTTTAATAACCTTTAACCTATAAAAGGGCTAGCTTTGTAAGGTTTAAAGGTAGACGTTTTATCAATAAAACTTTTGATTATTTTCAATTCTTCTTAGAGAGAATTCGAGCCTTTTACTTGCTTTGGCAAGGGTTGTGAGCAATCTTGCGTCTTGCCCTAGATTGTTCTACAGACCTATCCATTAGAGTAATCACCTCTATGGAGTTGTCATTCTACCGCCTATAATCAAATCGTGTCGTCCGTTTGATTCTAGGTTCCGCAATCCAAGCGTTGCACAACCTTGCTAGATCCTTGGGCAACGTGCTACGTGTCTCGAAACAAGTTGATTGAGGACCATATTACTTTGAGTTTGCAGTAATGCCATTTGGATTGACCAATGCACCTACTACTTTTATGGATTTGATGCACAGGGTCTTTATGCCTTATCTGGACCAATTTGTGGTGGTATTTATTGATGATATATTGGTGTACTCTAAGACTGCGGAGGATCACGAGAAGCATTTGAGAGGGATAATGCACTGATTTTAAGTTTCAACAAAAATGAGAGTGAGGGACTTATTGCCATTCTAACAACCTTAACATTGCTCTATCTAGTGTTCCTTGTTTTGTGCAGGTTAAGCAAAGTGCAATTGCTTTGATCTTACAATGTTCCATCCCAAAGGCGCTTGTGCAATTTGTGAGTTTCCATGGAGTTTGTCTTCTAAGAGTTAGATCAATTTGGTTCCCATTCATGGAATCGGATGATTTCAACGCTGTTCACGTCTTTGGAGGATCAAACTATGTGTACCCTCAAGACGTTAGAACCGACCATGTTCGACGAGTTTACACAAGGAGTGAGGTCTTCAATGGTCACTACAATACCTATGCTCATCTTGCACCTAGTCCACTTGATGCTCCAACTTCACCAAGTCAGCTTCCATACTTTACAAGCTTATTCAAGTTTGAGGAGTCCGATTTCATAGGATCTACATCGCATCACTTTAATGATCCTTACCTCATGATCACAAGCGATCAAGTTGGGCATACATTGAAACTGGTTCATGAGATTCAAGGTTCAACAAGATTTACTTTCCAGCTTAGCAAGTGGTTTATGCATTGGATGAAACTTGTGGTAATCATAACAAAATTGACTCGACGGCATGTAACTCTTCTTATCACCATTCATGCTTCAATTTGTGGGCAAATTGCTTTCAAGAGGAGGGGAATGATACGAGTCAAGCTATGCCATCGGATAAGGTTCAAGTCCCACTAGGACTGGTTACACGAGCTCGAGCAGTTCATTCAGCTTCATCGCAGCAAAGATGTTATAAGGCGCGGGCACGCTTTATAAGGATACGTCTTCTATCATTTAATTGATTCACCGCAGCAAAGTCATTATAAGGCATGGGTACGCTTTATAAGCTCAAGTCGTCTGCCCATCTAGTCACATTTGCTATTTTAGCTAAGTCGTTTGTAATAAGGGCTTAATGGTCCATAGCTTTGCTTTATTTACCTAAGGGATGACCTCATAAGATTCTGTCAAGTCCACAATTCTTAGTCTTATGGAAATAGTCAAGCCTACAATTCTTAGTCTTAGTCAAGCCCACAATTCTAGACTAGTTCCACATTATTTAGTTTTTCATCTCTATGTAAGGCTATAAATAGCCCACACTTCCAATGGTTTTAGGCATGCAATCAATAAATCAGATTTTGAGAGTTTTCTTGGTTTCTCCAATGCTTCTTGAATACCTTAGAATTTCTCTAGGTGTTCGTGACTTATCAATCTAGAATCACACTAGGTTGTGGCGTCTTCTACCATTATACCAAGGTTCGTTAACCACATGATTAACGGGTTGAGATCATCCACTCCAAACTTGGTATCCTCTTGTCGATCCTAAAGCTAATCTTTTACGGGTTTCGTCACAAGATTGGCGACGTTCATATCACCAACCATTCATACAATCCATGCTTAGTTTTAACGGCAGTCTTCCATTCATCTCCTTTGTGACGGCCCCACTTCTCCCCAAAGCGAACCAATGGTATCTGCGGGACGCCTACCCAGCTCTCGCCAGGACTCACGCAAGAAATCTAGCCAAAACCCTTCCGAAGAATAACCTAATCTATTACAATATCGCTTTCCTCCAAAATGGTCAATAACCAAACCACATTAACTTCAGAAATAACAGCATTTCAATATAGCCAATCGTCGACTCTTAAGAACCTTACGCGTTACAACCCAAGTCTAAAGTCATACCATCCCAAACATACAAGTTCATACAACACAAGTACGAACATACAAGCCAAATATCTGAATCAGGGATTGCACTTTTCCAGCTTCAAGTGGCAATCCAAAGCATTAAGTACACCAAGCTTAACGTATCTCCAATCCGATACATGACATAAGTAACATTAGACATTACAAACCGCAAAGCGAAGTCATAGAATTCATTTACATCCATAAGAAAGTCTAAGTAAATTGTAAAGCTCTCAATTTCCAGAACCTGTCAAGGAAAACAAATATACACGGTGAGCCAATCGCTCGTGAGGCCAAGAAAACACACATGCACGCACGTTGTTCAAGTAGAACAATAAGGTTCAAGTAATTTACAATTCAAGCGCGGCAAGTAAACAGAAACAATTCAAGGATATAGGAGATCTCAGGAGCTATTTTCCACTTGCTTCGCCACGGCTCGATCCGATACCCCCTCACAATGACCCTCCGTCATCCGGGTGGGTATTATATCCGTAGAAACTTCCCTTATTACTTCCTCCGGCCAACAATCCACCCTCTCGGATCCGTAACCAAACACGCACGAAAAGGGCGATACTCGTTGAGTATGCCGAACGAGACCTCAAGAGATCAAGTTTTGATTTTTGAACACGCACGAAAAGGGCGATACTCCACGAGTATGCCGAACAAGATCTCAAAAGATCAAGTTATGTTTTGTTGTTCCCTTGGCTTATCAAGCTTCTCGACCAAGCCCATGCCGGCTCGAGTTGCAAGATTAGCTAAGAGAATTTGGGCGTCCCCATAAGTCAAGGAGTTTCACTCCACCCGACAACACGTCACGCACAGCAAGCACAACACGCACGACAACACGACATGTACACGAAAATGGGTATATTTTAGCCAACGAGGTTCACTCAAATCGACTTTGAAAACCAAGTTAATACAAGTAAAGTTCAAGTAAAGGAGAGCGAGTGCGATAAAGTACACACTCGTCCCATCAAGTGATATTCACGTATATAAGCAGGTAAATCAAGTAAACACGACAAGTCATGCACTTGACACTCACAATTCAAGAGTAATTGAGCGAGAGAATCGTTAGTTGTCCTCTCCGGGATTCTCTTCCAGACTAGCTTGAGCACCTGAAGCAATTGACAAGTATTTTTCACTCATAATCACGCATTAATCAAGGAAGGAGTTACACTCATCTAGACTTGTCACTACCTCAAATCAAGAACCTTAGCCACTAAAATTAAAGGTTCAAAAGTGAGGTTTTATTAACACAAGGAAAAAAAATAATTTCCTTCATGGAATCAAGTTTAAAGTGACCAATTATCATCAAGAAGGAATAATGGGTTTTCAAATTTTTATTTTCTAAGAAATCGGCAAATTTCAGCTTTGCACGTCAAACTTAGAAAAATCAGGTCTTGCACTCAGTAGGTCCAAAATTGAAAAACTTGGTACCATTGGAAACTACTTCCAAAATATTAAAAGTTCCTCGAAGACACTTTTCCATGATTCCAAATGGAAAATATTCAAAAATGAGCTCAAGGACGCTGCTTTGGTTCATAAGACAGATTTAAGTTAATTTTTGGTCAACTTTGAAAATTCGGAAAAATTCACTCGTTGGGAACTAGCTTTTGAAATTTGGTACTCTTTTAGAGTCATAATCCAAGTGTACAGTAAAACAAACGGGATGAGAAATGGAGTTTTGAATATTAAGATATGGCAACTCAAAGTTACCAAAATTCCCTTGTGAAACATGGGTTTTTCAAACTCGAGTTATGAACTTTGGTAATTTATTTGACCCATGAAACGGTCTCGGAATAACACCAAAATTAGCAGTATAATACTACCATATAAGGGTTGTCCCTCTACCAAATTTCATAGGAAAATATGCACGGAAAGTCACTTAACAAAATCACTCAAGTTTCCAAAATTTTTAAGGCAAAGTTGCCTTGTATATGAACATTTCCTTTTCTAAACTTTTGACCAAGGAAAATCCTCTAAACATGGTTCATTTGCATAAAAAAGGTTTAAGGTCATCCCAGAACAACATTTGTGGTGATTAACACCAAGAGTTTTAATTTGCAAGTCTATACCGAGCCTTGCATCAAATCTGTCTAAAAATCAGGGTTTTCAAGGACAGAGCAGGTTTCCTATTTTGATCATAGATCACTCAAATTAACTAGGAATTTGGCATGGTTTATGGCGTTGGAAAACACATTCATAGAGCTATAATTTCACAGAAGAAATCACTTTGAAATTCGGCACACAACTAGCTCGAATTCGAGCCACAAGTTGCAGCCTCATCATTTTGTTCTTGTAAAACAGAGAAACAGGACAGCCGACTTAAAATGGCTGGTTCTGCTCACACACATGGAACCAGAAAGTACATTTTATACCGTCGGAAAGGCTGGGATGTCTAGTTTCAAATGCCACTAACGGCACTCGATTTCAAATGCCACTTGCGGTTTCTCTTTTTTCTTTTCTCTCGGTTGCAGCAGGAGATGGAAATGAGGAAGTTGTGTTGTGAAGGATTGGAATTGATATGGTGAAGTGAATTGATTATAGTTGAGGTGAGATGGTGGAGTGATTGTGGTGCTAGGTAGCAGTGGTGATTTACGGTAGTTGAGGGATTGAGTGTTGGATTGGAGAAAGTTTCATTGGCCGGATGGTGCGGTGCTTATGATGCTGTCAGAGGGATTGTTTGGTTTTGCATGGAAATGTTGTGGTTGTATGGGACATTTTAGTCTTTTCACCTTTCTTCCTAACCTCTACTTAAATTCTCAATTCTAACTTAATTCCAAAAATTATCCCCAAGTGTGATTTGAACGCCTAATTATACACTAGTCATGCAAGACTTTAATTATTGTAACTTCATGCCTTAAGTATGTTTAGCATACTTGTATTATATTTATCTAAAATTCATTGATTTCGTCTTACCGTGAAAAATTTCCTTTTAACCTGTAACGCTAGCAACTAATAGGAATTAATCATTGAGTTTCAAGTAATTTACTTTAAGGTAATAAGATTAATCGGCTCAAGTATCATTAATTTTGCATAAAGGAATTTAAGTATTCTAACATTTTATGTTAAGGCGAAAAAAAAATTTTTAATCTAACTCTAAAGATATTAATTTAGTCTAGCAAAACCAAGAAATTTCATAACTTAGGAAAATTTTATTATTTTTCACATGAAAATTGTTTTTACGCACTTATTTACAAACAAGTGAAAGTAATGCTAAAATTTATTAGAGAATTAGAAATGCAAATGAAATATGCAATGTTATTTGTATATATATTTTTAGGGTTCTCACATCCTTCTTGTATTCTTATTTGTTGATATCCACATTTTAGGTCTATTTTAGTGAAGATTATAGCTCCATGTAACTCATCTAGCTTGTCATCTAGTTCAGGAATAGGATGGCGATACTTTACCGTTATAGCATTGATAGCGCGGCAATCGGTGCACATCCTCCACGTTCCATCTTTTTTGGGCATGAGTAGTACAGGAATGGCGCATGGGCTCAGACTTTCACGAACCGACCCTTTGCCTAGGAGCTCACCTACTTGGCGTTCCATTTCCTTAGTCACCTCAGGGTTGCTCCTATAAGGCGGTCTATTGGGCAAGGTTGCCCCAGAAATGAGATCAATTTAATGCTCAATTCCCCTTAATAGAGGTAACCCACTAGGTACATCCTCCCAAAAGACATCTTGATGAATCCTACAAAAGGTTAGCAATAGAACTAGGCAAGGAAACACCAAGAGTGTTAGTCACGATTACTTCTTTACAAACCAAGAGTAGCAAAATATGATCAGAAAATAAGGCCTTTCGTACATCCTTGGTTTTGGCTAGTAAGAGTTGTTTTGTGACGCCCCCAATTCTCCCTAAGGCGAACCAAAGGGTATCTGCGGGACGCCTGCCCAGCTCTCGCTAGGACTCAAGCAATTTCTATTCAAGCTTATAGCGATACTAGAAGTCAACAACCAGAAATTATACATACAATTAGTGCGGAAGCGTACAAGCTTAACGATTTATAACAATCACCCAATCCTTACATCGGTTTTCCATAATACAACCCAAAATATACAATATCCAAAAGTCTAGATAAAAGAGTTGGAACCCTATTACATGAGTACACAAAAGATAAATTCCTCCGAATCTTATTCCAAGCCCAAACCTGTTAAGGAAAACAAATCTACAGGGTGAGCAAAAAGCTCATGAGGCCAAGAACACATATGCAAGCACATTGTTCAAGTAACAATCCCAATTTAACAAGTAAAACAACAATATTGCAATAAATAACAATTCGAGCGGAAAAAGTAAACAGAAACAATTCAAGGATATCGGAGCTCTCAGGAGCTAATTTCCACTTGCTTTGCCAATGTCATTCGTATACCTTCCCGCGATGACACTCTATGAACCGAGTCGGTATTTCCATTCCGTAGATCACCACTTACTTCCCTCCATCCACTGTGCACTTCCCGGGCCCGCAAGACATATATAAGGCGATACTCCACGAGTATGCCAAGCAAGACCTCTCATTAGGTCGAACTTAATTATCTCATGGCTCACCAAGGTTCCCGACCAAGCCCATGCCGGCTCGAGTCCAAGGTCGCCCTATGAGTTTGGGCGTCCCCCATTTACATTTGAGAGTCGAGGAGATTCACTCCAATGACGTATGCAGCCATAGCATACCATTTCATTCCATTCAAACATTCAATCATTTCATTTCATTCAATTAAGTCATTCATAAAACATTCGTTTCATTTGAATCATGAGTCATTCATGTCAAATAAGAACGAATGCGGTAAAGTACACACCCGCCATCATTTTCAAAATCTCCAAACAATTATAACAATTAAGCATGTATCAAGTATTCATACACTTGACACTCACCAATATAAGAAATGAGGAAGAAATGTCCCTCGGAGCTTTAGGCGTTCACTGTGGGATCCTCTTGAAGGTCCTCTTGTGTGCCTGAGCAATTAACAATAGACTATCATTTACAAACCCCTATTATTAAAGAAGATCGTACCATGGTACAATCTTAGAAAATCTCGTGAAACGAGCCTTATTTATCCTAAATCAAGGCTCTCAAGTGGGGGTTTCAAAGTACAAGAGAAATTTAGTTTTTATCTTGGAAATCAAGTATAAAACATCCAAGTAATATCGAAGGAATAAGGAGTACTTGAAAAACTCCATTTCCTTGGAATTCAGAAAATTTCAATTTTGATACAATACATTAGAAAAATCGTATCTCACGCTTTACAAGTCAAAAATTGGAAAACTTGGTACCGTTGGAAACCTCTTCCAAGGTACTAAAAGTTCATAGAATACACTTTCCCATGATTCTAGATGGAGAGTATTCAAAAATTGGCTCAAAGTTGCTGTTTTGAACATGATGACAACTTTCGGGGTTAGTTTTTGGCCAACTTTGGAAATTCGGCAAAATTCACTCAATTTAAACTAGCCCTTGAAATTTGTAACTCTATTAGAGTTATAATCCAGGTTTAAAACAAAATAAGTGGAATGAGAATTGAAGTTTCGAGCACCAAGATATGGTAGCTCAAAATTACCCAAATTTCCTTGTTAAACAAGGGTTTTCCAAAATCAAGTCACGAACTTTGGAAGTTTAGTTGAGCAATGAAACGGCCTCGGAATAACACCAAAATTAGCAGTATAATACTACCATATAAGGGTTGTTCCTCTACCAAATTTTATGGATAAATAAGCACAAAAAGTGGGTTAGCAAAACCGTTGAAATCACAAGAAATTCTAAGGCTAAGCTGCCTTTGAACCTCCATTTTGCCGTTTCCAAACATTTGGTCAAGGAACATCTCAAGCATGGTTCATTCCAGTAGGAAATGTCCAAAATATGTTCAAGGTACATTCGATAGATGATTTACAATAAGAAGCTTTGGATAACAAGTCCCAAACCCTAGTTAGTTTCAAATCTGTCTAAAACACTGTTTTCGTTCACAAAGTCAGTTTTGAATTTCGATCATAAATCACTCAATTCAACTCAAAATTGAGTGTGGTTGATGGCGTTAGAAAATAAACTCACAAGGCTATATTTTCTCAGAAGAAACCATTTTCAAAATCTGTTCATAAACAGCTCATTCGTGGGCATCAAGTTGCAATTCATGTGCTGCCTTCCAGGAAGCAACGAAACAGGACAGTAGATTTCAAACGAATGGTTTGGCTCACTCAAATGGAACCAGAATATACATT